TGGTGTCTGGATCTGTGGTGTTTATCTGTTCAGACGTGTAATAGAAATTTGACACACCATAAATTGAAATACCATCATTTGTACAAACCACAGTATAGTGTATTACCATCATACCACCCAACCCTATGTACTACACCAAACTCTTACGTCAAATACTGAGAAACATTTGTTTTTCTTTAAAAAAATCAGCCCGTTAAGACAATTCAATACTTATTAAAGCTCTAATTCATCCCAAAGGTGTTCTATCGGGTTGAGGTCAGGACTCTGTGCAGGTCAGTCAAGTTCTTCCACACCAAACTCGCTCATCCATGTCTTTATGGAGCTGCTTTGTGCACTGGTGTGCAGTCATGTTGGAACAGGAAGGGGCCGTCCCCAAACTGTTCCCACAAAGTTGGGAGCATGAAATTGTCCAAAATCTCTTGGTGCTGAAGCATTAAGAGTTCCTTTCACTGGAACTAAGGGGCCGAGCCCACCTCCTGAAAAACAACCCCACACCATAATCCCCCCTCACCAAACTTTACACTCGGCACAATGCAGTCAGACAAGTACCGTCTCCTGGCAACTGCCAAACCCAGACTCGTCCATCGGACTGCCAGACGGAGAAGCTGATTGGTCACTCCAGAGAACACGTCTCCACTGCTCTAGGTCCACTGCATTCAACGCTTTGCATTGCGCTTGGTGATGTAAGGCTTGGATGCAGCTGCTCGGCCATGGAAACACATTCCATGAAGTTCTCTACGCTGATCTTGAGCTGATCTGAAGGCCACATGAAGTTTGGAGGTCTGTAGCGATTGACTCTGCAGAAAGTTGGAGACCTCTGCGCACTATGCGCCTCAGCATCCGCTGACCCCGCTCTGTCATTTTAAGTGGCCGACCACTTCGTGGCTGAGTTGCTGTCGTTCCCAATCGCTTCCACTTTGTTATAATCCCACTGACAGCTGACTGTGGAATATTTAGTAGTGAGGAAATTTCACGACTGGACTTGCTGCACAGGTGGCGTCCTATCACGATACCACGCTGGAGCTCACTGAGCTCCTGAGAGTGACCCATTTTTTCACTAATGTCTGTAGAAGCAGTCTGCAGGCCTAGGTGCTCGGTTTTATACACCTGTGGCCATGGAAGTGATTGGAATACCTGAATTCAGTGACTTGGAATACTTTTGGAAATACAGTGTATATTTCTCATGTTTACACATTCACAAATGAATACTTATGAATGTGTAAACACGAGGAAGCATTTCAAATCAACGTCATGCCTTACTTTTTACTAATCTAGATCACTATGTTGATTCATTGTGTTGTCTAACAACATTTACTGAATGCAGTACTGTGGGCAATTTGCTATGCATTAGCTATATATTAAAAGATGCCGTAATGCGTATATTAAATAGCGGACATTCACCATAACATTAGATAACACCGTTTTACTGTGAAAGGCTGGGTGTTGGCCCACGTTAGCGTAAGAAAACTTTGTTATCTGGCTATTGCCGAGGTAAAGCTACAGGCGGTTCCCTACAGTCCGGTTGCTAACTGCGTTAGTAGGCATGTTTTTCAAGCTATTGCTCAAAATGTCATGATAACTTACTCTTATTGCTTGGCTGAGTTGGTCCAGGGTCATCTTCCCCGCCCTCTGCCAGTGTTCGTGCTCTGGTGTTGTAGCTGTTAGCAGCAGCGCTGTTAGCAGCGCCGGCCCGCGTGCTTTTTGCCATCCCATCCAAAACGACTGACTGTAGAAATCAATAAACCGTTGATACCTGGTCTGAATGGATAAGTTACTTATTAACGTCACACAAATAATCACAGTATCTGACATAACTACTCAACGCTGTCACTATGGTTTATGTTGTATGAAAACAGTGCCTACAAATAAAAGCTGACATTCCATGTTTTAGTTTATCTTTTGATCTGAAACACATTTTGTGAATGTACAGCAAAAACATCCCATTTCACTGCTTTGACTAGTCTTAATAAATTTATATTCACTTTATGTATCATGTATTTTTTTAAACAATAGAATCTTCCTAATGTCAAGAATAATGGTCAGTCAGCAGTCAGTAACTTCTCAGTTTGCTTGTTTTGATGCTGCTGATTTTCATGTTTTCAGTAAATTTTATTTAATGTATTAGATCTGAAACAGACAGCAGTAATTAAGGCAAATGCATCTGACATTCTCAATGCCGTTATAGTACATTTAAAAACAAAATGTCAAAATGTACTTTAAAGAATATCCCTCTTTTATTTTACCCCTTCAGTATCCCCTTCAGAAGACCTGAACTTCGGCTAGTACAGAAGAGGAACCGTGAAACGTTAATGCCTCTGATTAAGAAGTATGTGAGGAAGCACAGCATTGGTGTGAGTGATGAGTGGCGAGTTACTCCATCCTCACACAGGAAGGCTACAAACATGCTAAAGTGAACCACAGTGTGAATTATGTAGATCCACAAACAGGTTATCATACACAGAACACTGAAAGGGCCTGGCAGACATTGAAAAGAGAAGTGTGGCGTTTAAGGGCAAACCGCTCTGAGGAAGCCCTGAAACAGCCATTATGATTTACTGAGTGGACTTATTGGCTGGGTAAACCATATCATGAAGGAATTCTTGGAAGGCCTCTAAAGGATATCCGAAAGCACAACATATGGAGTCCTAGCACTTGAACTGGCCTGAGAGTCAAAAGTGTGATATTTTGTACATTTACAAACGTGCGTATGGCTGATTGATGTGACAAAAACATAATGTCACCATTCTTGAAGACATTTTCATGCTACGTAATATGTATTGTGATATTTTGTTTTTATGGAGTACTGAAAGTTTGAACAGACACTTTGAACCAGCAGAACAGTCGTGCCACATTTGAAAGACTATGAAATACACGACTGAAGTACGGACTACAAGTACAAAGATTTTTTTCGTTTATTCAGCCACCATATCATAGATGTTGTTTACAGGCTCTCATTGAGTTTTTCTGTAGACTCTGTAGATACTTTGTTGACAGTCATATTAACATTTCTTGCATTCTTGTTAATTCCAACGTGTAGTCCATTGATTGAGTTGATAATGTGTTTGTTGAAACACAGATAAAGATCATGTTGAGACATGTTGAGAATCAATTGATAAACTGGTTGATGACCGTCAACTGACAGGTTGTTAACAGTCTGTAGATGGTTTGTTGACTGTAGAGTGTCTAACTGCAGGCTGTCCGAATAAAGTGTTACACTCATCGCTGCTAGATGCTGAAGAGAGGAGTGTGTATCAGCGTTAGGCTCATGTGAATTGAATTACTAATGTCGGTGAGGGGGGAGGTTGTGGGGGAAAAAGGAGTACCGGCGGTGGCAGCAGGCAGGGAGCTCTGATTCTTTCTCAAAACACACACACACACCACACACACACACACACACACCACACACACACACACACACACACACACACACACCCTTCTGGGTCACAGTGGGGTGCCGGAGCCAATCCCAGCTGTCCTTGGGCGGAAGGCAGGATACACCCTGGACAGGTTGCCAGTCCATCACAGGGCAGACAGACAGACATACACATTCACACACACACCTAGGGGGCAATTTAACATGTCCAATTGGCCTGACTGCATGTCTTTGGACTGTGGGAGGAAACCCACTCAGACACGGGGAGAACATGCAGACGCCACCCAGAAATGACCCTGGTCACCCAGCCAGGAATCAAACCCAGGCCATTCTTGCTGTGAGGTGAAAGCGCTACCCAATGTGCCACCGTGCCGCCCTTCAAAATGAAAACAAAACAAACAAAAGAGCGCTGGGCTGTGAGCGGAAAGCTCTTCACTACTGCAGGCTTCAGAGTTGTCGCTGGAGTTTCAAGGTCAGCTTGTCTCCCTGCCATGTGCTGCTGTCTCCCAGGACTCTCTCTCTTTTGGGGAAGGAGCTCATATTAGTAGGGAAAGAGAAAATTAGCCCCAGGTGTGAGCGTTTGCGTTCTCACTCTGGCCCAGCCTCTCCCCTGCAGACGCCGCTTGACCACGCCCCCGCTGCCACAGTGGGGTATAATAATAAATAATTCATTGTCAAAAGGAACTGCAAAAAATGATGTTAGTAAAGCTTGGATTTGGCTACTTTTGCTTGGTTAATACTTGTGGACCAAAGCTAAAGTTGGCTTTTCATTCAACTTTTCACTTCCATCTTCAATGATAAGAATATGTATCTGGCAAATACGAAGCCAACTTCAGCCTCATTTTTCCATCTGCGTCCCTGTCATTTCAGATTTTCTTGTGCTCTTGGTCAGAACACAAAAACTACTCTTCTTAAAGCCACCAAGATCTGGTTTGGATTGTGTGGCATTTGTTTATACCTGTATGTGTAACCTACCTTTGTTTATACATATATGTGCATGTAAACTAAGCGCATTCACTTTTTTACTGGATTGTCATGCACACAAATCCTAGTTATTTTTATTATGTTCATTGCATGTTTTTCAGGTTGTTAAATTATTACACTCAAATCTTGTGCACTCCTAAAAAATGTGAGTTTGAGTTGCGCTTATTTTGAGATCAGATTTAATGGAGCCTTGAAGAATAAGAGCAAACGTGTGTCATTTTTTGTGTAATCCTTTACAAGAGTTAGTGACAAAGTGTTTTTTTATTGTATTTAATACACATGATAATAAATATGAACTGATCTTAATTTTACTCCAGGTACGAGGTACCCCAGTTCTGCTTTTATAGAGTGATAATAAAAATTTTATATATTTTATAATGTATTTTATAGAGTGATTTTACTGAATAAATAATGACAGTAAAATCTATTATCAGAGGCTTCATTTATCCAGTTATAGAGGCTTGTAAGAACCAAATTGTTATTTACACACTGGTAAAAACTGTAAGTCATGAAGAGAGTGCTGTTCTACACAGCAGGTAACTCAGGGTGAACAGGGTCATGAATGTGGCTCAGTAAATGTCCAACTAAAATACTAACTGATGTGTTTATTCACTTAGATTTCTCTTCTTGTCCTTCTTGACAGCTTGATATAAATAACGGGTCCCGTACAGAGATGGAGTACTTGGGAGGGGTTGATACACAGACATTTACACATCAGGCCCGGGATGAAGACTATCAGGAAGCTTCGGTGCATGAAAGAGGCCATCTGTTTCCACACGGTTACGCTGCTGATCAGGATCAAGCTGATTCTACATGTACTCTCACCAACATTGCACCACAAACAGGCACCAGCAACCGCAATTGGGAAGCGCAGGTGGAGACTCCAATGCTCAATCAAATACAGAACGGGTGCAGGCTAGACGAAAACAACCCAGCTTACATTGTGACTGGAGTGGTTCCAGGAGAGAATTGGCTGAGAATAAAAAGAGGGAGAAGAACCATTGACCATGGAATTAACATTCCCAGGTATTACTGGACAGCTTACTCTTGCATCAACAACAATGATGGACGAATTTACCAAGCCTTCCTTGCTCAGCAAATAAACCACATAAAGGATGATCGCTACACCCAATTTGAGGTCACGCCCATGAATGATCAAGACCTAAACACTCAGCTCACTGAACTGTATGGCACAACATTCCACGTGTTCCGTAGAAGATAAGCTTTAGTTGTAACCTTAAGGTTAATGTTTGTACCTAATGCTGAGCTCCTTCCTCCTAACGCAGAACACTTTTATCTTTCAGTCAGACCTTAAAATAGCTAAAACAGAAATGCTTTGTCAAACTCAGATACTACAATCCATACACTGTGTTCCTGCAGCACACAATGGCAGAAATTAGCAGCTCTTCCTCACATACTTGCAGAAGAGTGACACTGCACTTTTACTGTGTTTGTTCTCAGAAGCAAGTATGTTCATGATTAAGCTGTATGTTTAGGTAAATCTTACAGGGTCATATACATTCCAGCCTAAAACTACAGTTTAATATGTTATTTGTCCTGTTAAACAGTGTTTTGGAGAGCAGCACTGTGTCACTGTGTCACTCATCCTTATCAGCTTAACAGAATTCACAATTTTATATCTGTTTCATAGATTCGTCACTGTTTTCTTATTAGAATACCCAGCATGGGCTGCACAAACACATCATACAATCCTGACCGCTAGCCTAGCCACTGAGCTACAGGCTAATAATCACAACCAACCTAGCATAAGCATAGCTGTCTTTGATTAGCAAACAAAATCATGAAGAAACGACGACTCTGTCTTTATTCAGCGCTGAATGACCACTGGATCCCAGCTTTGACCCCTTCAGTCAGAGAAAAGAAGCCAAACTGAGGGAATACATCGAGATAGCCAGGCTAACTTCAGCTGTTGGCTGATTACATGACTGCAGAAAGATATTCAATTTCATGATGTTAGCTATTGGCCTTCCTTCCTTCTGCATTCGGCGGCTAACGATTAAAAGCAAACATTTCACCCACACCTTCAAGCTGCATCATCAGAAGGGGATTTCAGACTTTAAACCTGAAAATCCCACTCTAGAGAAACACTGCCGTGCCGCTGTAGGAGGAGAGTATGCATGTTTACAACAGAAGTAGTGATGGGTATATTTTTCATTTTGGCTAGAATATCCCTTCAAAGAAAACACACCAGCCTCAATAACTTGCCATGTACACTACTGAAGACAATCATTTTGAGTCCATATTGATATGATACAAAAAAAATAACAAGTCAAGTCAAGTCAAATTTATTTATATAGGATAAGAGGGACATAGTTAGAAAAACAAATTAACCAAAGGCTCGACTAAACAGGTAAGTTTTTAGACTAGACTTAAAGATGGAGGCTGTGTCTGAGTCCCGAACACAGACTGGTAGGCTATTCCAAAGCTGGGGCGCTTTGTATGAAAAGGCTCCTCCCCCTGACGTAACTTTATTTATTCTGGGTACTAATAATGAGCCTTGTGATCTAAGTGGGCGTGTCAGTTGATAATAGGAAATAAGGTCACTGAGGTACTGAGGAGCAACGCCATTCAGAGCTTTATATGTCAGTAGAAGGATTTTGTACTCAATGCGGAATTTAACTGGCAACCAATGTAAGGTACACAAAATTGGGCTAATGTGGTCGAATTTCCTGGTTTTGCTGAGAACTCTGGCTGCAGCGTTCTGGACTAACTGAAGCTTGTTCAACCAGAAAGCAGAGCGTTACAGTAATCTAACCTGGCGTGATGAAGGCGTGAACTAACGTTTCTGCGTCCTGTAGCGACAGTGCATTTCTTAATTTAGTGATGTTACGCAGGTGGAGGAAAGCTATTCTGGTAATATTGGTAATATGCTCATCGAAGGCCAGACTGGGATCAATCGTGACACCAAGGCTTTTTACAGATGTGCCTGGTGCAACTGAGAAACTATCAAGATTAAGAGTAAACGTAGGCAGATTATCCCTAGCAGCTTTTGGACCAAGAAGAAGAACTTCGGTTTTGTCCGAATTTAGTAAAAGGAAGTTGCTTGACATCCAGTCTTTAATGTCTTTTACACAGTCCTCTATCTTATTAAGTTCAGTTTTGTCCTCTGGTTTAGCTGAAATATATAATTGTGTATCATCGGCATAGCAGTGGAAACTGATGCCATGTTTTCTAATGATGGTACCTAGTGGTAGCATATATGAGGTAAATAACATGGGTCCTAAGACAGAGCCCTGTGGAACACCATACTTACTCTTGTGAGAGCTGATCGTTCACCATTTACATTAACAAACTCAAAGCGATCACTAAGGTAAGATTTGAACCACGAAAGAGCTTCACCTGTCACTCCTACTAGTTTCTCAAGCCTGTCTAATAGAATGGAATGGTCTATTGTGTCAAAACCTGCACTAAGATCGAGTAAAACCAGTAAGGATATGTTTCCTTTGTCAGCGGAGAATAAAAGATCATTTACAATTTTCACTAACGCTGTTTCGGTACTATGGTGAGGCCTGAAGCCAGGCTGAGATTTTTCATATATATTACTTGTATGCAGATGGGAACATAATTGTTTTGCCACGGCTTTCTCTAAAATCTTTGATAAAAAGGGAAGATTTGAAATAGGTCTATAGTTTGATAGCTCAGAGGGGTCAAGACTGGGTTTCTTTATTAAGGGTTTAATTACACCTAATTTAAGAGATTTT